TTGTTAAAACCTTTCTATGGATGAAAGATTAATGTGTTGAGTTTTGTCTTCTGATCTTGCAGATATTTAACAAGTAACATGTTAAACGGGGTAGTACCAACTTGGATGGTAGACAAAGGAGACAATATGTGAGTTTTTTCTTCGTCGATACATACAACGCAACTCTTTGTAGTGCCACATCAGAATAACGTTTCTTTGGTTATTTTTACTTATATTGCAGTGATCTTACTTACAATAACTTCTCCAAAGATTCCAATACCGCAAATTGTCAACAGAAAGCTGTGTAAGAAGAACAATAAACATTCAAACTTCTCGTGCCTTCAAATTCGCTACAAATCTTACAGTTCATTGGTTCTTTGTACTCGCAGGAATATGTTTTCAAGCACAAGCCCTTTAGTGGCAAATAATTCGTAAGTCTCTTTCTCAGAACTTTTAAAAGCTTTGATTTTAACACTAACTAGAATATTGATATTATGCTATGTTTTGATACAGCTCAAACGTCTCGTGTCTGACTAATTATATCTGTCCTAAGAGTAAGCCTTTGAAGCTAAATATACATACAAATCATATCGTTTACAATCTAGCTGCGCATCTGATTTATCTTTTGTTACTAATCATTGTTTCTCAGCTTTCTATGGCCTTCATATAAACTGTGGTGGTAATGATATAACAATCAATAAGACTAAGTATGATGCTGACACATCGGGTGGTACAACCTTCTACGATAGTAGAAACGGTTGGGTTTCTAGCAACACGGGACACTTCGTGGATGATGATCGGTCTCCCGAAAAAGTAACTGTATGGGAAAATTCATCAGCTCTTAGGATAACAGATCCTAGGCTTTACACACATGCACGTCTCTCGGCCATCTCCCTCACTTACTACGCGTTATGTCTTGGAAAAGGAAATTACACAGTCAATCTTCATTTCGCTGAAATTATGTTCACGGACAAGAACATTTATAGCAGTTTGGGAAGACGATTCTTTGACATATATGTTCAGGTAATTTTATTAAACTTGTCTCCAAAATGTCTGAAAGATTTTTCATGCTTAAATATTTAAGAGAAATTTGGAAAATTAGGACACATTGAACTTTATTATGTTCCAATACATATTTAAGTACTTGGCTTTGTCCCATTATTATTTGATTGGATGGTGTGTGATAACGTGCAGGGTAACCTTAAGATTAAGGATTTCAATATTGCTGATGAGGCAAAAGGTCTTGGAAGAGCTGTGGTTAAGAGTTTTCCAGTCACGATTACAACAAATGGGAAATTGGAAATAAGATTGCATTGGGCTGGTAGAGGAACTACAGCTATTCCTGACAGAGGTGTATATGGTTCTCTCATATCGGCTGTATCGGTAGATCCAAGTAAACTTTGCTAAACCCGAAACTATCTCTGAGTGATTGTCGCTTTTATTTGAGTGTTTTCTTTTGGTGTTTTGACTTTATCTACCATGATCTTGCTGTAGATTTCATTCCACCAAAGGAAGATGGCACTGGAAGCTCTGTTGGTACAGTGGTTGGTATAATAGTTGGTTCAACGGTGTTTCTTGTGCTTTTAATCGGTGCTATTTTATGGTGGAGAGGCTGCTTAAGACCCAAGAGTCAGATGGAGAAAGGTACTTATGAAGACACGCTTAAATAGCCTTTACAATCCATTTGATTTGAGTTTAAGTCTATGTTTCTTCCTAGACTCAACGGTGTTTTTTTCACCTCAGATTTCAAGAAATTGGATTTCCAGATCAGTTCTTTCTCATTGAGGCAAATTAAAGTTGCTACGGATAACTTTGATCCAGCAAATAAGATCGGGGAAGGTGGCTTCGGTCCTGTACACAAGGTTAGCATCATAATGTAATTGACACTGTTATGAGATTTAGAAAGATGAATAATATTTGCCTAAAGGTTTGTCCGTTGTATAAATACAGGGAATGTTGAATGATGGAACCGTTATCGCGGTGAAGCAGCTATCATCGAAGTCAAAACAAGGGAACCGAGAGTTCTTAAACGAGATTGGCATGATTTCGGCTCTGCAACATCCGCATTTGGTTAAACTATATGGATGTTGTGTTGAAGGTGATCAGCTCTTGCTAGTCTACGAGTACTTGGAAAACAACAGTCTAGCCCGAGCGCTTTTCGGTTAGTTCTCTTAGCTTTAAATGTTATATCTAACTCTTTGCTTTTGGTTAACAACAGTAGTTCTTGTTTCTCTCAATCTAAAGGTCCTCAAGAGACTCAAATACGACTAAATTGGCCAACAAGGCAGAAGATTTGCATCGGTATAGCAAGAGGACTAGCTTATCTCCACGAGGAATCAAGACTCAAGATTGTCCACAGAGACATCAAAGCCACTAATGTCTTGCTGGATAAAGAATTAAACCCAAAGATTTCTGATTTCGGTCTTGCTAAGCTTGATGAAGAAGAAAACACACACATCAGCACACGAGTCGCAGGAACATAGTGAGCCAAATCATTCTATCAATCACAAACAAGAAGTTTCAGCTCTGAGATTTCTTATAACCAAAACAAATCGTTTTCTGTTGCAGCGGATACATGGCTCCAGAATACGCCATGAGAGGCCATTTGACAGACAAAGCAGACGTTTACAGTTTCGGCGTTGTGGCTCTTGAAATCGTTCACGGAAGAAGCAACTCAAGCACACGATCCAAAGGCGATGACTTCTACCTTCTTGACTGGGTAAATGCAATTATCATTTCACATCTAAACCATGAACCCTAAACACGAACAAAACTCATTGATCTGAATCTCAATTTCTTCCTTAGGTACACGTTCTAAGGGAGCAAAACAAACTACTGGAAGTTGTAGATCCGAGGCTAGGAACAGATTACAACAGAGGAGAAGCAACGACGATGATCAAAATCGGAATCCTCTGCACCAGTGAAGCTCCGGGGGATAGACCGTCGATGTCTACGGTGGTGAGTATGCTCGAAGGACATTCTACGGTGGATGTTGAGAAGCTTCTAGAAGCTTCGTTTAACAGAGGAGGTCAGAAAGATGAAGAGAGCGTGAGAGCGATGAAGAAGCATTACGCAATGATTGGTGGAGAAGAGATAACGAACACGACGGATCGAACTATCTCCACCGACGGACCATTCACGTCGTCTTCTACGTCCACCGCAGCCGACGATCTTTACCCTGTTAAGCTTGATTCTGCTTATTGGGACACTAGAGCTTAATTATGTTACTTATGTTTTTGCAAGAAAATATTGTCGAGCAAGTAATTTATTATGATTTTTTGTAAAGTTTTGTTTTTTAATTATAATTATATTATTTTAAGACGATTAGAAGATTACGTTTCTTTGAAACTATAAAAATAAGGATATATCAAAAAATATTGTTGTTATGCTGTTCTAAC